TGCCTACGATGCTGGCATCCTCTTTGGGTGCCAGTTTGTTTGCTGGCTACTCCACTTCCAATCCAACTCCGTTAGTGGCTTGGGAAGAGAGGTAGAGGATGGTCCCAGTACTAATACCCCTTCACTCATGTGGGAATGCTGGGAGAAGCGCCTGGTTCCTGACTTTAGCCTGGCCCAGTCCTCGCCGTTGGAGCCATCTGAAGAGGGAAGCAGCAGGAAACAAAGAAAAACTTTGTCTCTCCCTCTCTAATTTTGCCTTTCAAATTGATTAATGTTACAAAGCGTGTAGAGAAACAAGAATTGGAAGGCAGTTGATAGAAATCTAACAGAAGCTTTCAGAAAGACTTACGCTTTTAGGCAAAAGCAATATTGGTAGAAAAGACTGGAATCCAGGCCGTGATGGACTGTGAGTGCTGTTAGCTTTCAGAGCAGCGAAATACTACCTGATATACATGAAAAAACACATGCATGTGCTATGTATGTGTGTTATGTTGACCGAATCCAAGAGTCTCATTAGATTAAAAAAACATTTTTAGAATAGATTGTTAGGATTAGTGTTTAGATACGTATGCAAGTGAATCTTAAATTATAACCGCCATGGATTCAAATGTACCTTAACAACTTGTATTATATTACGGTAAGATATTACTGAATGCATTTATCATTGTCTTGATTGTGGAGTTACCAAAATAAATAGCTCAATCTTACTTAAAAGCTCACCCCCTGCCACAGGTACCACCCCTGCTTTTCTGCTGCTTTTCTTATTTTTTTTTTAAATCTCAATAAGTAGCTTTAATGCACGTTAGAGCTGCACTTCAAAAAATTAGTTATTTAAAGTTATCAAAAATAAAAATTCATGTAAGATACATGTGAATTGGCAGCATTGAACTACAGTAGCATTCATTAGCATGTTTCAGTATCAAGCAGGGAAAGAAACCAGCAGTATATCTGTCACACACACACATGCACACACACACACACACACACACGCACACACACACACACAACACACACGCACACACGCACGCATGCGCACACACATGCACGCCTGCTGATGGAAGCATGATGAAGGCAACAATGTTATCAGGACAAAGGGATTAGGTGGAAACAGCAACAATCACAACCTACTTTGTGAGAACGGAATAGACTTTGAGTTACTTAGACTTTCAGGACAGCAGTTATTTATTAATCTCATGGACTCATGGACTGCAAAAAAAAAAAAAATATCCCAGGGCAACACAGTTCTTGGAGAACAGCAAAGAAAACGTTGTGACAAACAGACAAGAATACAGAGATGCGTTAAGTTGTGTCCCGGTCGCTGTGCTCCGCAGAACAAGGCATTGAGGGTTTGTGAATGAAGGGGCAGTGGTGTTGGGAACGAGAATCAAGCAGTAGCAGCTTTCAAAAGCCCACACCAAGGGCCAGTGTTGTAGCACAGCAAGTTAAGCTGCCATGTGCAACACTGGCATCTCATGTGAGCACTGGTCCAAGTCCCGTTTGCTCTGCTCCTGGTCTAGCTCCCTTGCTGATGCAGCTGGGAGTACAGTGGAAGATGGCCTGTTTCTGCTGCTTGTCATAGCTAGCTTCTCAAGAGAGGCTTCCCTCCATTTTGTCTGCCCTCTGTCTTCACACCTCTTCTCTGGAACGCTTGGCGTTTAGGCTTTCTCTCCACCAGTGTCCTGCAAGTGCCATTGTCAAGGTCTGTGTTGCTACATCTGGGGAACAGTAAGCTCTCCTCAACCTGTCAGCGATGTTTAACCCTGTTGCTCTCTCCTGCCTTGAAACATTTTCTTCACTTGGCTTCCAGAATTTTGCAATTCACCAGCTGTTTCTTCCTATTCCCTTCTGTGGACTCATTGTCATCTTCCTCTGGGATAACACTCCAGCTGTTTCTCTTCCTCATATCCCAGCGTACTGCACCCAGGGGAATCTTGGCATTCCCTTGGTTTTCTGCCCTGTCTTCCCGAGGATAAAGATCTTGAAAACCGAAGTTCTCCCATGCAAAACTCTTTTTTTTTACACAAGCAGTATTCGATGGGCTTATGTTAGATGGTTGTCTTTTCTGTGTTCTGTTTTTCCCTGCTGGCTTACGCTTTCCTGGGGTTGTTGGCTATTTGACTGATAGAGTATACTTGGTGGCAATGGGCTAGAAAGCCCAGAACCTAACTTGTACCCTTGCTGGTGAGTTTTAGCCAAAGGGGGTCTCGCCCTTGGATGTAATTTGCCATGGCTGCCTCCTACCACCACCAAGCAGCTTGGCTCCTCAGGAAAGCTCTGTTCCATGCACCAGGCACAGCTACTTCCCAAACCAATTTCCCTGAGTGATAGTTGACATCACCATTGGCACGCAGGGCAGGGGGCCTAGCCAGCCTACATGGCTAAATGCAAGGGGACTGCTAAATAGGGTTTAGTCTGTCAATCCAATGGAACATTTTCAAAGTGTTAAACTTTCACGAAATCAAACTGTCACATCCTATTAAATTAAAAAAAAACAAGAAAATCATTCACATTGTATGATGTTTAAGAATAAAACTTACATGTAGTAAAGTGATGAGAAATCCACTCTAATATTAGTGGACCTTGTGTATTTCTGATGGACCTGTGGGGTTTTGTTTTCTGTTTGGTTAAGTATTAGTTATATATCTTGGTGAAATTTTCTAATTAAAATAAATGAACTGCAAAAAGATCTTTCTGGTTCTGACTCCTTCAAAACAGCAAAGAGGTGATAATGCTAAATAATTTTATAAAAGAGAAAGCATTCTAATGTAAAAGAACCTATTGGGAAAGAAAATACCTTGTGAAGAGATCTTCCATCTACTGCTTGGCTCCCAAAGTGGCCACAATGACTGGAGTTGAGCCAATCAAAGCCAGAAGCTTCTTCTGGTCTTCCACATGGATATAGGGGCCCAAGGACTCGACCTTTCTCTGATGCTTCCCAGGACCATAAGCAGGGAGCTGAATTGGAAGTGGAGCAGCTATGACATGAACCAGCAACCATATGGGATGCTAGTTCTACAGGGTGAGGAATAGCATGCAATACCACCATATCAGCCTCCGCCCACTCCCCCTTTGTAATGGTTTTGATTCATATTTCCTTGAGGACTATTGATGTTGAATATTTTTCATAGAATTGTTGGCCATATGTATTTCTTCTTTTGAGAGCCGTCTATTGACATCTTTTGTCCTGGGTTATTTATTTTTTTGTTGTTGCTAAATTTTCTTAAGTTGCTGATATACTCGGTGTATTAACTCTTGGTCAAACAGGTGGTTTGCAAATGTATTTTCTGATTGTTTTGGATGTCTTCACTCTGTAGTTTGATACAGTCACAATTTGCTTGATTGTACCTTTGTTACCTGTGTTTTGGGGATCTTATTCAGGAAGTCATCCTTTACACCAGTGTCTTGGAGTGTTTTTTTTTACGTTTCCTTCCAGCAACCTTTAGTCTTAGGTCTTAAATGTATGTCTTTGATCCATCTTGAGTTGATTTTTGTATATGATGAGAGGTATGGATCTAATTTCATTCTTCTACATATACACATCATATTTTGCCGGAACTTTTCACTAAGAAGATTATCCTTACTCCACTCTATTTTCTGAGCACTTTTGTCAAAAATTGGTTGGCTGTATGTATGTGGATTAACTTCTGAGCCCTTTATTCTGATCTGTGCGTTAGTTTTCATGCCAGTACTATGTTGTTTCATTTATTAAGGCTTTATAATAGGTTTTGATAAATTATTATAATGTCTCCAGCCTGATTTTTCCTGTTCAGGATTGCTTTAGCTATTCTGGTCTTTTGTGTGTCTTTATGAATTTTAGGATTGCTTTTCCTAATTCTATAAAGGATGTCATTGGTGGTTTGATAGGGATTGCATTGAATCTTTAGAATGCTATAGGTAGTATAGACATTTAATGAATTTGATTCTTCCAAATGATTAGCAAGTAATATATTGCCATTTTTTGTGTGTCCTGATGATTACTTTCATCAGTGTTGGGTAATTTTCATTGTAGAAGTCTTTTGCTTCTTTAGTTAAATTTATTTTTTAGGGCCTGGAGTGGTAGCCTAGTGGCTGAAGTCCTCCTTTTGCACACACTGGGATCCCATATGGGTGCCAGTTTGTGTCCTGGCAACCCCACTTACCATACAGCTCTTTGCTTGTGGCCTTGGAAAGCAGTCGAGGATGGCCCAAAGCCTTGAGATCCTATACCCATTTGGGATACCCGGAAGAGGTTCCTGGTTCCTGGCTTTGGATCAGCACAGCACCAGCCATTGCGCTCACTTTGGAAGTGAATCATCGGACGGAAGATCTTCCTCTCTGTCTCTCTTCCTCTCTGTATATCTGACTTTATAATGAAAATAAATAAATCTTAAAAAACAAAACAAAACAAAACAAAAAGAATAAGTTTTAAAAGTTTATTTATTTTTATTGGAAAATCAAATGTATAAAGACCAGGAGAGACAGAAAGCAAGATCCTCTATCCGCTGGACATGTACTTGGGCTGTCTGCTGCAGCTCTCAGGTGTGTTAACAGGGAGCCAGAATGGCAGTGGCCTTGAAGTGGAACCCATATGAAATGCCAGCATTGCAAATGGCAGCTTTACACATTATGCTGCATGTTGGCCCCTCCTTTTGCCCATCACTTTATTCCATCTTTCTGGTTGTACCCCCCACACACACACTTTTTTAAAAATTTACTTTATTTTTACAATCTTTACATGGTTAATTAGGGCACAAATGGTCAAGGGCTACAGGAAAGTGGGTAAGACTATTGTTTCCACATTATTTTTTTTTCCTGTATCTGGGGTAAAGAATGCAGTCAATATGAGGTTCAGGGAGGTTGGAAGGTTGGATTTATATTTTATTTTTAGAGTAAAAAACTGTGATAGTGAAATGCTTACAGGCTTGCCATTGTCATTGATGTTGATGGCAGTGATGGGAACTCCGTTTTTGTCATTGTCTGGTGCTTTCTAGCTTACCACGTTCTTCTGTGTATTTTTCAAGGTCCTTAAAATTCTGGTCAAGGCAGTGATTGATGGGATGGCTGATCGAAGTGGAGATGTTGCAACCAGCCTCAAAGGAAAGCTGCAGGAGTTATTTGGCAGAGTAACATCAAGAGTGACAAATGATGGAGAAATCTGGAGGCTGTATGCCCAAGTGTATGGAAATGGGCAGAGCGAGAAGCCTGATGAGAATGAAAAGGTGAGTGTCATCTTGCTTAGCTACCGGGCTGTTGCATTGGTCCGAGTATATGTGCAGCAAATCTGCTTCTCTGATGGGTGGAAGAATTTAAAAGACTGAAAGATAAAATTAATATGCTTAAGTTCATTTCTCACCCTGTCTTTACCAGAAGTTGTTTACAGTTGTGGGAAGGTTAATGCTTATAACATTTGTCTTTTTGTTTTTGATAAATTTTCCGTATATAGTTGTTCTGTATTTCCTGTAAAAGGGTCCCTTCATCCGTGTGAACTCCCTGCAGCAAGCAGCTGGCTCTTGTTACTTACCCAGCATCCCCTTCTGTGGGCTTCTATTAAATACAAGGACAGAAAAAGTGTTTCGATCTGAGGTGGGAACTCCTAAAGGCAAAAAGGAAAAGGAGCTGGGTGAAGCTTTTGGAGAAGAGCTTTCAAAGGCTAGCCACGGAGTCCCCGACCAAGGTTGCCCTGCCCTTGCTCAACACGTGCCAGTGTGCTGCTCGTCTCTCAGAACCTAACGAGCCCCCAGAGTTGCCAAAGTTGGGAAAATTATTTTGTGTTTGGAAACATTCACAACAAATCAAATGTACTTCTTGCATGGGTTTGGAATTAGCTGCAGTACAGCTAATCTGTGGGATTCTTAGCCGTTCTCTCCTCCCTCAGTCCACACAGCTGGCTTCTAGCATTGCCTTCTACATCCAGAGAACACATAACACATGCATGCCTGCTCACACTCCCACGTCTGAGGCTCCGTTCCTTCTTGAGTTATGCAACCCTGCATATATCAAATCAAGGGTACTTTGAATTCTCTGATTTGTGACTTCTCCCTTAAGACTTTGCAAGGGTTTGAAAGAGTCATTTTAAAGTTCTGTGAGATCATACATCCACCAGAAATTCCACAGTTTTCACCACCCTCATGCCTTGTTCTCTAAGCAAATCTCCTAAACTGATGACTATAAATGCTAGGGAATCTGTGTACTTCTACTCCAGGTTTCTCTTTGCCTGCTTGCGTGGAAGTGCCCTGTCCAGATCCATCTGGTGATTTCCTCTGACTGCCCTTTGCTGGGGGGCTCTGCATCTCTGTCCTCTCTTTGATGAGACCCACAGACAATGCTGTGTGACACAGATGCTGTGTTTTCAAGTTGGAATAAGTTCCATATGGCTTTCAGGAAACAGAGCTTGAAATGCGAGTTCTAAATGTTGTTTTTTCTCTTCCTTCAGGCCTTCCAGTACCTGTTGAAGGCATACAAGTGTGACACACAGTCCACTTGTTGGGAGAAGAATGTTGCTTCGTTTAAGGAAGTTGTTCAAAGAGCCTTAGAACTTGCACATGGTATTTGATATTACATTTGATATTCATGACATGCTATTATTATTACTAATGGAAAATAATGTTAGTCCGTTGCAAGTAATTTTAAATCTTTACATTGAAGTTATTATTTTTAATTTAGCACATATTTCATAGGCCAAGTATTATAAAATTGGTACTTTGGAGCAATATGGAGGAATAGGAAAGATACTTAATTGAGGAAGTGATAGAAATGGGAAAATGTTTGATACTTGTGAAATACCTTTGCAGCTGTGTACATTTGTGTCCATTGTGTAGTGTTAAGGAAATCTGTGGTTTTCTGCAGTGAGTTTGAAACCATACCACAGTTATGAAAACCACCACTAAGTCAAAGATAAAAAAAAAAAAGGAAAGGAAAAGATTCCCATCAATTTTGTTGTCGTTGGACAACACTACTGCCCATCTATTCTCTGAATGTGGAGGAGTCAACACAAGAACCATCTAAAACATTGAGAAGCAGTCTGCAGATGGTGAAGGGTTCCTAAGTACGCCTGGGCCTTGGATGCACTCAGAACTGAGCATAGGCATGTTGGCATCTCCCGTGCAAGTTTGAGACCAGCAAGTATTCTGTGATTATCACTGATATCCCAAAATGCAGAGGCTTTATCAAAAGCTTGAATCAGAGTGCCTGAGTTTGCAGTTAGAGTTCTGCCAGAATTGCAGCATCTTGCTAATGCACACCCTGGAAGATAGCGAGTCATAACTCAAGTACTTGGCTCCTTGCTACCTGTGGGAAGGCCTGGACTGAGTCCCAGGCTCCGGGATTTGGTTTGGCCCAACCTCAGCTGTTGTGGGCACTGGGGAGTAAGCCAACACATAGAAGATCTTGGTCTCTATTTCTCTGTCTGTGTCTGCCTTTTAAATAAAGGAAAAATTAAGCTTACTTTTTTTTTAAGATTTATTTATTTTTATTGGAAAGACGGATATACACAGAGGAGGAGACACAGAGAGGAAGATCTTCTGTCCAATGGTTCACTCCCCAAGTGGCCGCAACGGCTGGAGCTGAGCCAATCCAAAGCCAGGAGCTCTTCCAGGACTCCCATGCGGGTGCAGGGTCCCAAGGCTTTGGGCCATCCTTGATTGCTTTTCCCACGCCACAAGCAGGGAGCTAGATGGGAAGCAGGGCCGCTGAGATTAGAACCGGTGCCCATATGAGATCTCGACAGGTTCAAGGCAAGGACTTTAACCACTATGCTATCGTGCTGGGTGCTAAGCTAACCTTTTTAAAGCCATAATTGTAGGTAATCACATCTCGGGTTGACTGTGGTATCCTGATTGTTTCTGTTTATGTTGGTGAATTTGAAACTGTTCCAAGAATGGGCAGGCCCATGAGCATGTACTTCTCTCGTATGCATTGCATGTGAACTTATTCTTTGATGATAACAAAATGAATTCCATGGAGCCACCCTACAGGCAGAAGAGATGGAAAAAATGTCAAAGGAAGTCAACTCCTACCTTAAGACAATTGGCTGCAAACCAAAATAGCATTTGTGGCAGTGTATTTGCAATGGTGACAACACACTGAGGTTGTGTGTAGATTGTCTTGATTCAAAAAACAAAAAGTTACCTGCAAAAACAACAATACCAATGTGATTACCCTACCTGGAGCTCTGCATCCTCCTGCCAATTCATCCACTGAAACAAGCCCTTGTTCCTACCCCTCCAGGGTATCTACAGAGTGTGTGGAATTCTCCTTGCATGCTAAGTGAAGACTGGTTTTTTCAAATCAGGCATGCTCATGACTATTGTTCTAGTCAGTCTGTTGAGATGCACTGCAAAGCTTTGAGGGAAACTTTTGCTGAGGACAATGTGGTCTTCACTGTTGAGAGCCTTTCTGTTAAAATCTGTTCCCTGCGGCAGTGTTGTTCATAAAAGCAACATTGACCCATCCGTGGAAGCAGCAAGCATCCCTGCTCAAGTGATTATCCTGAATCATGCAGAGCATATCAGCGCTGGCTGTGCCCCTGACCCAGACTGCCACACGTCTCACATTGCTTCTTAGTGTGCTGAGCTGAAGGCAGAGATTGATAGCCCCACTGGTAAGATGCTGGCTTATGGCTTTGTATTGAACTCTGGTGATGTTGCCAACTTTGGAATGGTTCTGGGCAGCCCTATGAGCGCTGACAGCTTCTCTGACTCTTCCTCTGGGTTGCTTTGTTATTCATGATCCGATACAGACATTTGCTCTGCAAGCAATGGACAAAACTGGCAAGGTCAGCGAGTCTCCCCACGGAGCTCACAAGGCTCAATGAATATTTTATCACAACACCTGTCTCGCGAGTCATAATCCTGGATAGGAGAACAGTCACAGAACTGTTTGTCTCAACTGACCGTTTAAGTTTAATAGTCAGACTGGTTGATGATAACAGTGTATCATAAAAGCTTCAGAAAGAAAGGAGTGTGTTTTATGAACTATTTTTATGTGTCTATGGCAGCTTTAAGTTATTAATTTTAAAAATAAGTTCATTTTAATGGGAACAACTTGAGCGAAAATCTGTCATGGAATTTTGTGACTCATTAAAATAAAATTTAATGGGGTGGAGGAGGGAAAGGAAGTCTGTTACCTTTTCCTTAACTGATATTCTTTCTCCTTTATAAACAAAAAATACATAGATCACTAGAGTATATTGCAGTATAGAAAGAGCTACAGCATATGCAAAAGAAATGCAAAATATAATCCCATCCCTATTTTTAGGAAACTTATGAGCGTATCATTTGGGGAGCAGACATAAATTTACAAAGAATTATGCCTAAAATTAAAAAAAAAGATTTATTTTTTTATTTGAAAGATTCAGAGAGAGAGATCTTTGATCTGATGGTTCAGTCCCAAATGGCTGCATTGGCCAGAGCTGGCCCATTCAGAAGCCAGGAGCCAGGTCCTTCTTCTGGGTCTTCCACATGGGTTCCAGGGTTCTGGGTCTTCCACATGGGTCATTTTGTGCTGCCGTCCTGGGCCCTAGGCAGGGAGCTGGATCAGAAGAGGCAGCAGAGGCTCTGAACTGGTACTCACATGGGATGCCTGCACCTCAGTCCTATTGTATCTCCACGTCGTGAGGCAGGCATTTGATGTAGCAGTAAGATGGTGCTTGGGTGTGTACTTCAGAAGTATGTATACTAAAATTGGAATGATACAGATGTGGCTTGGGACACACACACGTCTAATATTGGAGTGCCCGATTGTGACTGAAGCTCTACTTAGGAAGCTGCCTGCTGTTGTACTTCTTGGGAAGCTTCCATGGTAGCTTAAGTACTTGGGTCTCTAGCACCCATTGGGAAAACCCATATGAATTGTGGGCTCCTGGCTTTGGCCTGGCTCAGCTTGGCTGTAGCAGGCATTTGGAGAGTGAATCAGTAAATGGAAGATCTCTTTCTTATGTCTGTATCTTTGCCTTCCTGCCTTTCAAATAAAATAAAAAATACTCTCCTGAAAGTTTTTAAGTTGTACTACTATTGGAAGAATGTGGTCCGAATAAAGACTGCTTTTAATTATTGGCATTAATGAGAAATATACCAGTTAAATTTTTTGAATTTCAGTTACATTTATATTTGAATGAGTAGATAGTCCCCTGGGATTGCTATTCTAATGAAATAATAAAGCTCTGGTGTTTGATCTGAATCACGAGGACTGTAAAACTATCCTAAAGGCTTGCAGCCACTAGCAGGTGCAGCAGATAAGGAGCTAAAAAGCAACAATGAAAAGAGAGAGCTTTGGGAACAGAGCAAACCAAAGCTCTAGTTAGTACCAAATATATGGTGAACTTACTTAGATGGTTGGGTAAATTAACTTCTCTGAGCCTGCTTGTTGGTGAAATGGGGACAGCACCTACCAGAGAACAACAGATGAGAAGATTTAAACACTTAGTATTTTATTCGGGGCTCACAGTAAACCCTTACTCTCCACCCTGTTCCTTAGTAGTGGGTCTAGGCTTTTTGACAAAGGCATCAAAGGTAAAGAGAAAGCTGAACAAGGATAAAGTTTAACCTGCCTATAAAGAAGTCACAAAACATTCACACAGTTTAGACATGGTCCTGGTAGTTAATAATTCTACTTATGGTCTTTGATTTCTTTGACCAAAAGACATAAATATATAACTTCCATCTAGCCCTTGGAAGATAAGGGTAGAAGTACTAAACTCTGTGCAGTTTAAATTCAGTGTAGACAAGTTTAAGGTCATGACTACCAATCAGTGGAAAGAAGTTTTGGGGGTCGCTAGAATACCTGTGGTCCATACAGGTCATGCTGGGTGGCTCAGCCTGGGCTCCGTTCTTAGGCTTGGGGCCTCAGTGGGTTGCATGTTCTGCATGGGGAAAGTCACACTACCATGTACTATGTACATAGTTAGTGGGGTGGAATTTGCTGTGAGGGATTTATCTTATCTATTTCAATTTACCCACTCTAAACATTTCTGTGAACTGCTTGGCTCCGCAACAATCAAAGCTAAGGTATTTTCTGCAGTCGTGAAGTGATGGTTTTAAAGCCGTCAAATATAAATATACAGCTTAAAGAAATACCGCAGGAAGAATCTTTATATTACATCCTAAAGTTACTTTTAAACTGTTATTGGCACCATTTTTTTTTTAATCAGGACAATACTTGTAGAAAAACAGGTGTCTGTCCTTTTAGGTTCTCCTTTGACTTTGATGAATTATGTGTTGGTGCATGCACAGCATTTTAAGTGTATTTGAGCTTTTGTTTGACTGTAGTTTCTAATGATGCCTTGAATTTATAAAAATAAATCCTAGTCCTTGTTGCTTATTGAAATCATTTTTAAAGATTTGCTTTGATTCGAAAGGCAGAGTTACAGTGAGAAGGAGAGACATACAGAGAGATCTGCCATCTGCTGGTTCACTCCCTAAATGGTCACAAGAGCCAGAGCTGGACTAATCAAAGATGAGAGCCCGGAACTTCTGGTGGGTTTCCCACATGGGTGCAGCGGCTCAAGAAATTTGGCTTTCCCAGGCCGTAAGCAGAGAGCTGTATTGAAAGTGGAGCAGCCTAGACATGAACTGGCGCCACAATTGGAGGCTTAAGCTACTATTCCTTGGCACTGGCCCTCTACAGTTTTTGTTTTAATGATGTGCTTATTTACTGAAAAGGCAGAATGACAGAGAAATGTGCCAGACGTGGGGGTAGAGACAAAGAGGGAAAGAGAGATCTTCCATCTTTTGGTTCATTTCCCAAATAGTCACGATAGGTGGGGCTGGGGCGAGGAGCCAAGGACTCCATCCTGGTCTCACACATTGCTGCTTTCCTGGCGCATTAGCAGGAAACTAGATTAGAAGCAGAGCAGCAGGAACTCTTTAATCTGCACTGCAATGTGCGATGTGGGCGTATAGCAAACAGCAGTTTAACTCACTGCTCCCCTTACAGTGCAACACTGGCTCCCCTTACAGTTCCTGTGATTTTGTTTTCTGGGAAAGGGCAAGCTAAAGCTTGGTAATTCTTTACCATCCAAGAACTAAAAATATTAGTTGTATGTGTTTTAAATACACTCTACCTGTAAGACTCTGCTCTCTTTGATTTTCTTTTCTAATTCTCCTTTTGTAAAAAAAAAAAAAAAAAAAATAAGGTGTGTTTATTTGAAAGGTGGAATCCAAGGAAAGGGAGAGATTTTTCCATCTGCTGGTTCACTCCCCAATGGCTACAATATCTGGGGCTCGGCCAGACCAAAGCCAGGAGCCTAAAACTTCTGGGTCTCCCACCTGTATGCATGGCCTCCAGGGTCATCTTCCACTGCCTTCCTAGGCACGTTAGCAGAGAGCAGGATCAAAAGTGTAGCCGTTGGGATACAGTTCGGTTCCCCATGTGGATTGCTGGCATTGCAGACAGTGCTTAACCTCTCACACCAGAGTGCCAGCCCATCTTAGATTTTGTGATTTGAAGCAGCCGGTTATTTCTTCTTTTCTCCCTTGTACTCTTTCCCCCACCCTCTCTTCCTCTATCTCTGTCTCTGTCTTTAATCCTTTTTAGGAAAGGAAGGAAACAGATTGTGTGTTATCTTTATGCTTCAATCTTGTTATTCTTAGAATGAAAGTAAAAAATTAAAAAAGAATCAGAGCTGTTTGTGATATACGCAGTAGATATTAAACAGCCCAAATACCTCTGCCGTAGGAGTTACACTTTCCTCTGCTAAGAGAAATAGCCATAATCTGCACTGTCTCTGGATCAACTGTGCCCTTTGAAACTTGGATTGATATTATTAAGTACCACTTGGCCTTTCGGCCATGAGAAATGTCAGTCTGGTCATTATCCTGAAGTAGGAATGTCAAACCTAGTTGTTCCTGGCCACAGAACAGAGTATTAATTAATGCAAAATGGTTGCTAGGAATTGATGACCTCTATGGGTTGTGGAGAGTTTGCGTGAAAAAAGAAGTCTCTTCCATCCCTTGAGTGTTCTGTAGGGTGTCAGGTAGACTTGAGTCCTGCCCTGCTTAGTTTTAACATAGGAGCTGGGTTTTGATCCTTTTGAATTTAGTGAACCTAAAGTCACGGAACAAAATACAAGGGCAAATCAATCAGGAAATGTCAGATATTATGTTGCTATGATGCTCTTCACTGTTTCTAATAAAGCGTTCATGGCAGGATTTCCGCCAGGGAGGGGTGTGCCCCTTCATAATTTCAAGAATTAGAAAGTAGGTTTCCCAGATTGCTGGAGGCAGAGTTGTCGGGGACACGAGTGACTTTGCTCTCCCACCCTCCTTTCTGATGCCAGGCGTGGCTCAGGAGCTTGAAAACCCTGTTGTGGTCATTGTTTAACTGCAGATAGTGGTGTTAGGGTCAGTTCTTCCAGAAGGGTGCTACAACCCTGGAGTATGAAAAGGAAGATGAAGTAAGAATTGAGCTGCGTGTTAGAGCATGTTGTTCCCTGGGCTCGCACTATCATTGATTGCCCATTGGAAGCCACCGTAAGATGCACTGTGTCTGTTTTTGTCCTCTCTGGGCACCTTGTTGTCACTAAGGTCTCCTTTCCTGACTTCAGTGATCTGGGCATGGGGCACACGTGCATGTGCCGTTCAGACTCTTGCTCTGATGTCTAACTCACCAAAGATCCCCTGTTTTCTTCAGAATTCCTCTTGCCAGTGTATTTTCTTATAAAGGGGGAGCAAAGAGTTAGACACGTTTCTTTAAAAAAAAAAAAAAAAAGCTTATTTGAAAGCTGCCGAGGCAGAGATACAAGAGATCTTCCATCCTTTGGTTTATTCCCCAAATGGCCGTGATAGCCTGAGCTGTGCCAAGGTGAAGTTTCATCTGGGTCTCCCATCTGGGTACAGGAGCCCAAACACTTGGATTATCTTCTGCTGCCCTTCCAGGCACATTAGCAAACAGCTGCATTGAAAGCAGAGCAGCTGGGACACACAGCAGTGCCCTTATGGGATGACAGCCTCAAAGGCAGAGGCTTAATGTACTGTGCAGCAAATCTGGAACTTAATTTTTAATCCTATGCATTTAACTTTGTCTTTTTTCAAGAATAAAAATTTTCTAGATAGAATTGCTTTTAAAGTTGGTTACCATAAAATTTATTTATTTATTTATTTATTTATTTATTTAGGTTACCATAGCATTTAATTTGAATAATTGGTTTTTATATTTGTAAATTGTCATTACCAATTGCTAACAGACATTTCTGCCCGTGTTTGTCATCCAGTGGCTATGAACTGCAGTAAAAACAAATCCAGTCCTCAAGAAGCTGTGCAAGTGCTGTCTTCAGTGCGGCTCAATTTGCGGGGCTTGTCGTCTAAAGCCAAGGTGAGCGGGACAGGTGGAATCGTTAGAGCCGTCATGTTGAGAGAGGTTGCTGATACCAGCTTATTGCTCTCAGACCTTGTTTTACGTTAAGGATTTTTTTAAGCCCTTTTTGTATTTTAGATAACAGTCCAAGGCAGTTTTCTTGATCCAATGGTCAGACAACCCTAAATGTGGGTAACTAAAGAGTCTACGAAGTGAATGTCTCCCCAGTCGCCCTAGATGCTTTCTCTAAATTTAGCAGTGCTCTTTTTTAAATGTTGTTTTCTCAGCTGACATATATGCCCCAATGGTGGTACTCCAGTTAACCTTTGGTTTTAGTTTGTATTTCTTGTATTAAAACAAGATTTATTTTACTTTTATTTACTTATTTATTTATTTTGGAAAGGGAGATTTACAGGGAGAAGGAGAGAAAGAAAGACCTTTCATTTACTGTTCATTCCCCAAATGGCCGCAGTGGCTAGAGCTGAGTGACTCTGAAACCAGGCGCCAGAGCTTCCTCTGGGTCTCTCATGTGGATACAGAGCCTAAGGACTTGAGCCATCTGCTGCTGCTTTCTCAGGCCACAGAAAGCCAAATCGAATTGGAATAGCTGTAATACAAACCAACTCTCAAATGAGAAGCTGATACTTGGGGGTAGAGTATTAGCCAGTTGAGCCATTGGACCGGCCCCTTTGGGTCATCTTCTATAGTTTAATGCACGTTACTCCTAGCTCTAAAACAATCTGAAAAGAAAAACAAAAAATCCTTCAGGAGAATAGATTTATTCTTTGACCTATTACTATCAAACTTAAGAGGCATTTGTTAGATGTTTGATAAACTGAGTTAGACTTACAAACTCTTAAATTCATCTTTGAAAGTATTTATTGAGAGACCGAGAGTTTCCATCAAGTAGTTCACTTCCCAAATCCCAGTGGCAGAGGTGCCAAACCTGGGAGCTGGGTATTCATTCCAGGTCTTCCATGTGAGTGGCAGAAACTCAGTCGCTTGACCCATCACCAGTGTCTCCCAGATCCCATGTTATCAGGAAAGCAGAGCCAGGAGCTAGAATTTCAGTGAGTATTAGAAGTATAACTAAGGGGCTCGGCGCAGTGCCTAGTGGGTAAAGTTCTGGCCTTGCATGTGCCAGGATCCCATATGGGTGCTAGCTCTAATCCTGGTGGCCCCACTTCCCATCCAGCTCCCTGCTTGTGGACTGGGAAAGCAGTAGAAGATGGCCCAAAGCCTTGGGATACTGCACCCAAGTGGGAGACCCAGAAGAAGCTCCTGGCTCCTGGCTTTAGATCAGCTCAGCTCCGGCTGTTGGGATCACTTGGTCATCAGACAGAAGATCTTCCTCTCTGTCTCTCCTCTGTATATTCTAGCTTTCCAGTAAAAATTAAATAAATCTTTATAAGAAGAAAAAGAGGAAAAAATATAAGTCATCAAACCTACAATTACTTCAATATTTTTGCTTGTTTTCCATCTATTGATAATTTTAAAGTCTTTAGCAAAGACTTTCATGCAAGTTAAAACTTAATTTAGAGCAAAATAGCAAGTAAGTGATACATAGTTTTAACAACAAATTTAAGGTAGATGGATGACTCCGGCATACCAGCTGAAAGCGGCTGTTACTGCAGATAGTAACCTAGGAACAACCCTGGGGTCAGGGTTGCCTACAGTCAGATCGGGATGCTTCTGAAGAGAGAATTCTTGCGCTGTTTCCATGATGGATACAGATTCAGGTCTGGGATGGAGCCTGGAAAATCTGTTAAGATTTCTTGGTGATTCTAATTTGTAGACAGGTTTGGCTTACATCTCTGGAAACAAATTTAAAAGGACATAATTTCCAATACAGTTTGGTACTTTGTTTTCTCATCTTTATTCACTTTGACCATTTAGTTGTGGGTTGCAGATTGATTTTGATTTCCTTCTGAGAGAAAGTCTGTGGCACATGGAAGCCATTTCTGGGAAGCTTTTTATTCTTCGAAAAACATTTCTAATATACGTCTTTTTGTTAATTCAGGTGAAGGCTTAATTTTTGCTTCTTCAGAAAATTGATTTACTATTCCTAGTTATCTAACTGCATTTCCTCCCAACTTGCCAGCGCAACTTCAGAATTACATGAATCAGAAGTTTGCAAAAGCTCTCATAGAAATTCAAAGCAGCAGGCTATATTTGTGACTTTTCTTCCCAAATGATGATTATGTTCCCAAAGTTTGGTTAGGTCACAACCCATCTATACCTGTTTATTTCTTAGGGATATACTCCTCTGGGCCCCTACTCTGTCAAGTTTTTTCTTTAAAGTTATCACTTTTACATAAACCTGTTCTTACAAGACTGATTCATGTTACCCACGCATGTATTTTAATATTGTGCTGCATTCCCAAATACTGAAAACAATTCCTCAGAGCATCCTCTGTGTTAAAATTCTGCCATTAAATCCCAACTGGATCCCTGTAAAAGGGAAGAACTGCCTCCCAGTGCCTCCTTCCTGAAGCACTTTTTGCGTGTAAGACTTGGGAGCCTTTGGTTCCTATGCCTTGTTTGGTTTTGGAATGAATTGCATTTGCTAAATTGAATTTCAAAGCCTGTGTTTTTAGAATATAAATGAATTAAGATAAACAGCCTGATGTAGGTATGGTTTGCATGAGTCTTTGATCTTTCTCTGTCAGGCCAGAAGTTGTGGAAATCAGTTTCTGGAAGCCGTAGAATCACGCACCAGGCCATCAGTCCATGCACGCCCTGTCATGTTATAGATCTGCTGCCTCAGTGGCGTGGGGGCTGTCCACGAGAGTGCCAGAGGGCCTGGAGCTACAACACATTTGACTACCCACGCTCTTGGGAACTCGTAGCAAGTTATTCTTTCCTTCAAAATCTCTGCTTCTCTCTGCTGCCTTCTTCCCTCGTCAGGATAGAGGCTGACTGATTTGCAGGCACACATAGACGCTCACACTGAATCTAGGTTATTTTCCTGAAAGGCATTTTCTTCACTGAGCATACTGCAGCACAAGAAGTGTCATTTTGTTATGAAATGCGACTCGTCGAAATCTGATGCAAAATATTCACAGCAAGCTGAGTAAATTCTACCTTAGATTAACACGCAGTCACGTGCGTGCACATGTGTGTACACACACAAAATGTGGCATAAGCAGTTCTGTTAGCTCGTTTTCTCGGATGCCCACATTGCCTGAGCAGACAGTCCCAGGAGGAGCATTCCAACATGTTTTTGGCTGTGGGAGTGTTACTGAGATGTGTTGCAATAAGCCGCCTTTTCCAGACGGAAGGCATGCTTGTTTTTGTTTTATTTTGCTGTGTTTTTGTTTGTTTGTTTTTTGGTTTTTATCAAACTCTGATAATCTTTATATTCTCTGAGACCTAAACTGGAGTTAATTTTCAGATAAGTAAAATAAAAGGTATGATTTTTATTAGTTTGAACATAAAGTACATTTGTTTTGCTTGCATATATAGTAAATATATTTGAGTGAACAATGCCTGTTATTTTTAAAATATTTTTTAAAAAGTTATAAATTCAGAAATGAATACCCAGTGTTTAAGGAACTATTTTGAAGAGTAAAACTCAGTGTAATTTGTAAGTACAGGTATTCTCTTGGTATATTGTTGGATTTTTAAAGCATGTAGATTTTCAAGAGACCAAAACAAATGTTGCCATTGCCACTGTAATGATGAAGTGGTAAGCAAAACGATTTTAAATGCTATACTCTGTGATTATTTTTTTAAGGCATTTTAAAAATTGTTTTTGATAGTTCTTTGTGTGTGTATGTGTTTTATGTTGCAGCAACTTTTTACAGATGTGGCAAGTGGAGAAATTTCCAGAGAGTTAGCTGATGAAATGGCAGCAGTGGACGCCTTGATAGCACAGCTCCAAGACCTCAGCAATCAGTTTCGAAATCAGTATTGACTGTCTGCGGAGAAACTTCTAGAAAAGGTGTTGTCCCTTCTGGGTTATCTCTCAGACCTGTGTGTCTGAAACACAAGATAATGATTTTTAAAATAAATTTCTAATTTAAAGCTAAATTCTTGTTTTTATGATATTCTCAATTGCTTGTACTTTCTGAAGTACATCAACAAGTTTACTGTAGTTTACTGTTTCTGTAGGTGTATTCGTAGTAGAATTGAGTATTTGTATTATTGAGGATGTTTTTCTTTTCCTGAAAACAAAAAGTGAATGAATCGGTTTCCTTTAGAACAAGGCTTTCTCTCTCTCTCTGTGTCTCTTCCACCATTTCCAACTCCCCCCCCCCCCAAAATCAGGAATAGGAAACATAGTCTAAATAGGGAAAGAAATCACATACTACTAGTTATGGGATCATTAGCTCGACTGCTGTATTATCCCAACTGGCAGAGTGGATTTGATGATGGAAACATGTATATTTCTTGAAATTTTTGTATTTGTGTCAGAAATATGCACAAGGGTTGACTAAATTAGAAATGTTAGAGTGTGGTTTAACTTCTAAGTCAAGAAGATACAAAAGAAAAAAACTGGCATAACCCAAATTTTGACTTCGCCGTTAGCCACTTGGAACCAAGCTGTTACTTCCTCATTGTGTATAATGCCAGCCCTAAAGATGGTTGTTTAATAAGGTTATTTTATGGGTAAAGAAAGCTATAAATGGTGCTGTATTGCCCCCCCCCCCCAAATGCTAAAGTAAAATGCTTTTTTAGTAATGTCCATGGAAACAAATACTGAACACAGCAGCTGAGCTTAATAATCTTAGTACAAAGAGTGAGAAATTCTGAGACCTGGCTTGGGTTGCTGAATTTTGGGTCCCAGGCATAAATCACTTGACCCTTGTTTTTTTTTTCCATGTTGTTATTTATAAGATGTGAAAAATTTCTGCTGAGTTTCAATTGTGCTTGACATTTAAAACTTCATAATCCAAAAGGCATTGAGTGTTACAGAATAGTGTTCCCAAAAATTATTTCTTCTGTGAGTTCAGGTTCTGGTTGCTTTCAGTACCAAATGCCCTCTTGCCTTGGTTACCTGCTTCTCTTTCTCTTATTACACCTATCTGTTCAAATGCTGCTGTGTGCCCCAGCTTACTTTCTTTCACAGTAGAGATGAGACCGATAAGGAAGAGGAGTGAAATGAGGTAGTTGCTTCAGTTACTATTGAAGGTCCTCTGAAATCTCTTATGGAAACCAGCAAGGGGAGAAGATAAATGGATACGTGGGTAGTTAAGTGGATGGATAAAGCAAAGTTTTAAAGTAAATTGCATTATTACCCAGCAGTAAACCGCTATGGAAAAATGGATTGAAAGGGATACCAAAGACAAGGTTTTCAGGAATCCAGTGTAGGACTGAGCGGGGCTTTAGAGTTTGACCGTTTTTTTAGTTCTTAGTTTGCTTTCTTGAAAGGCAGCTGTGATTGTAGCAATCATAAACCAGTCACCAAATGGTGATGCCTTCTCAGACATGTTCTCCATTGCCAACCTGGACCCAAGTCCCCTAGAGCTGCCTCACATCTTCTTTTGTCTTGGGATAAGCTCACGAAAGAGAGCGTTATGACATGTTTTCTTTTAAGACATAGATCTGTTAGTTGATTTAATAATCTTATGTGCAACGTGATTGAAGACAATGCATGGAGGGGTAAAACAGAAAAACCTTGTGGTTTTCTAGTTAGGATTCATCTCTACCACCTATTAGCACTTAATATTTAACACAATTTAGTTTGTCCCAATGGAAGAGGAGTGTGATGATAATATGCCTTCCACCAAGATTTCCAGTCACTTGTTGGACTTTGACCCAACCTCAGAGTTAGTGATCACTGCAGCATCTGTTTAAATGCAGCATTCACCATGGGGCCTGATGGGTTTGCCATTGACGTGGTTAAATATTTGTATGTACAAATATCTTTTGTTGTGTTTCAACTTTTGTTTTCTAGCCTTAATACTTTTGTTTTGAAAAATAGTCTTTTGTTCATTAGAAAAACAGAAAAGAAAAAAATTTTGATCCCTAATCTCTACTGAATCCTAGTCATTGAAAGCTCCTGGGTGCTGGGCACTGTGTGGAGCGTCGAGGAACCCTGCTGTGGATGCCAGCAGGAAGCGAAGGATCCCCAGCTCTGCAGAGAAGGAGCTGGACCTGCACGGCTGCACGCTGTGCTGAACTCCTCAGCAGCTGGGGGACCACTGCCTGCTCTTCCTAGCAACGGGATACTCGCACCTTTTGCCTCAAAAAGTTCTCCAAGAGAAATTCTGTGAGGCTTTAATGCAAACTAGCTCGCGTTTTGGTGTGATTATTTACTGAGGTTTGTTTTGAAAACATTGAGAAGTTCCTCTTCAGCTTTCTCCTAGAGAGATAGCATAGCAGATGGGATTCCTAACTGCGGGAGTGTGAAAATGGAAAAAAAAACCTTCTCAACACCCACACCTCCACTCAGGAAGCTTGGAGAGTTAGCCGCTGGGCGTGGGAAGCAGGGCAGTGGGGTGTGTGTTAAGGGATCGGACACTCAGAAATACAGGAGCAGAGCGGAAGGCTCGGCTTTGTCTCAGCCAGAACCCCAGCACAGCGGTAAGCACCCCAAACACTGACAGCGTTGACTTCCTTGATTGTTCATCGAAGTGATTCCTCTCATGCTATGCGTGTGGTAATTCATTAAAAAATGTGAAAGTGAAATGATAACAAATATGTGTAATAAGTTCTGTCTGCTTTCCAGGCCTAGCTCAAAGGTTATGATAGAAACAGGCCTGGCTAGTTTGGGCTATTTGTGGCCATTTGTCCAAACTATAGTAGATCTGCTAGTTGAAAACCCTGGTGAGTGTGATGAAAGCGTCCCTTTTTCCCATTTCTGTTTTAATAGCATCCACATTGATGTGAACACATTGCTGCTTAGATAAAGCTGTGCTACTTTACAGGCCAAGAGTGAGGAATAAAATCAGTTAAGTGGATGCAGTACACTTCCTTTCTGCCTGTTCATTCAAAAGGCCTTATAGTGAAATGGCAAAGAGCCTTTATCCAAATGGTGGGTGCCATGCTGTGGGAATACAGATGGATTTTTCACAACATGCAGAGGTGCTTATAAATAGATAGGTTTCAATCAACAAGTAGCTTATTCAGGCATGTGCTCAAATATAGTAGCTGCATTCATTAGACAGACATTTGCACTAATCCCAAGACTATGCCAATAAAAGAGTAATCCCTTATGGGCTGAAGGTAGTGTCGGTTTGCCTTTAACTCTTAGAGTCTTTCACAGTCCAAGGCCTAATAATAATTGTAGCTGCATTTGGTTTTCACCAAGTGAACTTGAAAGCTGAGCTTATCTTGAAAATTTTCCTAATTTTTTAAAAGTGTAGCTTAGTGAACAAAGAGGTGCTTTTTACTCTGGATGTGTAGCTTGTAGCAAAGCCAATTTGAAAATGAATTGTGTGGATGTGTGTGTGTTCTGACCATAAAGCACTTTTTTCTTTCACACGAGTTAATAGACGTGTTTGAGCAAATTCTGTTTTCTCTCTTGTTTGACTTCAATAAAAACAACTAGCTAGTGGTCATTTTTGAGAGGATTTAAGGCTCTTGGTGTAGCAGTTTGCCTTTCTGCCTAGACATTGTTTTTTAGACATTGTTTTTCTCCGAGAGCTTGGCTTTGGTCAACAACTTCTTACCTCCTCCCATCTTATTCAGAGCTGGCTGTAATTAGTTCACTCACCACAACCCCAGCATTTTCCCCTGGCCAGTGATGGCAGATCTGCCTGCCTTTTGATTATTCTGACTTCTCATGCACTGCAGTGACCTGTGAGTCAGCCTCACCATCTCTTGGCCCCGCGCCAACATTGTGATCCATGAGAAGGGACTCCTGCCAAGGGCTACAAGACGGAAAGCTGATATTACTAAAGTGGTCTCCTGAATGGTAAGTATCAACCATTTCCTAATCTTCTGTGATGTTATTGCCAGAGAGGGTGAGGGGAGGTAAATTGCATTCATGTTATTAGGGAGCGACTCACGCCTTGCAAATGCTCTTCAGACTGAGAGCCCAGTATCTGAGGCACAGGGAAGCTGCCACATGATGCTGAGCACAAAGACATGCTTCTCGGAGGCTCGAACTGTGGCTTTCAAGGGTGTTTCTCAACCTCTGAGCCCAGTTGCCCTGTTAGTGATCTGTATTGTATGCTGATGTTACCTAAAAAATCCATTGAGAAGATACTGGCACAGCCTTTTCTGCTCCCCACTCCAGAGCCTGGGGAGACTGAGCAGTGCTGGGCTGTAGCCCCAGGGTGTTGTCATCCTCAGTGCGTTCAGCAGCGTTTGTCCTGTTCCTGCACTGCAAGTGGGAACGAGAGAAAGGTTAAAGGAAAGATGATGGATTCTTATAAAGTGAAGGAGAACCAAATTCCTTACAGTAGATTTTTCAAGTTGGTGTTAGGAAAAAGAGAGGTGATGATAGGGAGGAATCGGGGAACGAAAATGAATGTACACTAAAGAACTGATTGACCAGAACGCACCTAGAGGTTTAGCAGATCCAGACTGAGATCCTGGCCTCACTTCTCCCCAGCTTGTGGTCGTACCTGAGCCCTTTACCTCCCTGCCCCCCAGTTTCCTCAGCTCTAAAATGCACATAGCCAGCCTGTGGGCCAGACAGAATTTATCAGATGAAGCATGTGAAGTACTCTGTGAGAAAGTCTGCACAGTTAGTGCTTGTTAAGATCAAGTGAAAGGGACATTGTGGATGGCTTGCCAGTTCCCAGGGGCAGCTAGAGTCCCTGCTTGGGAGTGGCCAGCTGCTTGGCTGCAGTCTCTGTAACCCCCTTGGGGGTCCTAACCCTGCGATTCGAGAAACAGTACTGCAGGCATCTTTGCATCTTCTGCGTGATGACTCGCTGAAATCTCTTTGGCCTCCAGCATGTCTGGTGCCAGGGATGATAAAAGCCATCTTCATGTATTTTTTAATAACTGTCCTAGCCAGAAGAACTCAACAGTTCTCCTCCTCCTTTTTTCTGTCTCTGTCTGCTACCAGGATACAGTACAGTTGTGTGGGAGCCACAGCTTCCAGCAAGCCCTATGATCA